CACTGGTACATTTTGATTCATTCATCCATGCGCAACCTTCACTCCACTACCTTTGCTTTTACCCCAGCGACCTGAGCTCCAATCAACTATCCGGTCCCATCCCCGATAAGATTGGTGCCATGCTAGCCCTCACTAGACTGTCAGTCACTCCCCACCACCACAAACTCTTTGGCTTTCCCTTCTCTACACTTGCCCAGCCTCGCCCATCCGTTCCTTCTTTGCCCTTTCCCTCCCACGCACATTCCATTATCATTCGGTGCATCCCTCTGCCCCTCACGTGTGTTCTCCTCTCTTCCTGTAACTCGCCCGTTCGTCCTCTGCCCGACACACCTGTCCCTCAGTGATCTTTCGGACAACTAGCTTTCAGGCAGCATCCCTTCGACCTTGAGTGCACTCACTCGAATGGTGTTCCTGTAAGCTCAATTTGCAGTATGCTCCATGCACTACGTCAGTCACACATGTGCCCTAGTCCTCAATCACTGTATTCATCAAGCTGCAGCACTCATCGAAATCATTTGCTGAAGTACCAATTGAGTGGCATACATGCAGCAAAGGATCCACATGTGCTGCGGATGCACCAGTAGTCGGGAGATGGTGAGAAGCGTCACCCTGTACTCACAGCGGCATATTTTAGATTGAATGTCTTTTTTTTTTCCACCTTTTTCTTTTACTAACTGATAATGCTTTTATATTTTTCCCCTTCACGCTAGCATCAACAATAATGAAAAATAAGAAATATCATTGTAGTGCTGATCATGAGTTGAGACTTAGGATTTTTTTTCAATCTTCTATTGCGTTGGCCATTCTCCCTCAGAATTCTAAGCAGAAATCAGCTCACCGGCCCCATATCCGCTGGCATTGGCTTGCTCACAAGAACTGTAGCTCTGTAAGACATCTCGTTTCTCACTTTGTGTTCCATTTTTTCTCCCCACCAACCCCTGCCTGCCCCTAGTGGCTGTGCTCATCATTCGTTTTCATGACTTCTCATTTCTCCACCCCGCTCTCGTGCCCCCCTTCTTTCTTCACCCATTTCACAACACCATGAGGCCATAAAAAAATCATTGGCTGTTCTTCCCAATGCCCCTTCGCACGAATGCCCCAACAATCAGATCCCTCACTTACAACCAGCTCTCTGGACCCATCCCTACCTCCATCGGCTCCCTCGCCACCCTAACGTACCTGTAAGACACGCCACGCCTCTCCCGCTCATCAAAGCCCCTACTCCAGAAGCGTTTCACACTGTCTGCTTCCTTCACTTACGTGAAAATTCTCAAATTGACACCCATGTGCCGCCTTCCCATGCTGCTGCAGGGGCCTTCATTCCAACAACCTTTCGGGCTCCATCCCTCCCTCCATTGCCTCACTGAGCCTTTTCAATGCCCTGTGGGTGCCATACTGCCATTGCTACTGCTGTGCCTTTCCACAGCTGCTACTACTCCACCCACCACAGCTAGCCTAATGCTCTTGTTCTGTTTAAGAACTTTACCCAAAGCCTTCAGTGCAAAAGTTACCACCACCTCTTTATCCATCCCTGCCCACCCTTTACTCCACTGTCCCTGCTGTTCCCCCAGCGACCTGAGCTCCAACCAACTGTCTGGTCCCATCCCCGAGGAGATTGGTGCCATGCTCACCCTCACCAGGCTGTCAGTCACTCTCCACCACCACACTTGTCCAGCCTCTCTTATCCATGCCCTTATTTGCCCTTCCTCTCCCACTCACACCCCATTATCATCCGGTGCATCCCTCTGCCCCTCACCTGTGTTCTTCACTCTTTCTGCGGCTTGCGCGTTTATCCTTCCCTGCACGCCTGTATCCCAGTGATCTTTTGAACAACCAACTTTCAGGGAGCATCCCTGCGACCTTGAGCGGGCTCACTCGAATCAATTCTGTGTAAGCTGAATGCTTATTTCGACTACTTATACTGTATACCACCAACCTTCAGACATCAGAGCCACACATGTGGCTTACGTGCCACCTTGTCGTGCGTTGTCCTTTCACGAATGTAGTGTGTCCTCTCCTGTATTTTCCATCTTAGCATGTCCAAGTCTTGGTCTTGGGTAGGCGTGGAAAAAGATACCACATTGCAGTTTGGCTTGAGTAGTAGCTGTTTGTCTCAAACGAGCTGTTTTATTTTGATAGAATGTAATTGTCAAACGGCTTGATTTAGATTGTCTTGTGGGATCGAGCTGCAGCATTTCATACAGGTTCCTTTCCCTTTGATGAATGAGGATCCGTGTTATTCAGGACGTGTGGGGTAATATGAACATAGTTGTTGGGCATTGTGTTTGTTAGTACTATGTTTTTATATATTCACTCAACCGAACCCAACCCTGCACCCAATAGTTTGGCTCCTGATACCCCCATAATGTTGTCATGACTATTGCAGAGCTTTGAGTTTTACTCGGACAGTTTCCAGTCGACATCCATGCTCAAACATCAATCTTCATCTCCTCTATTCATCTATTCTATTTTCATTTTCAGCCATATTTTTGTTGTTGGATCACTTTCCTCCATTATGATAATACATTGTAGTTGGCTTCCCTATGTATGTTATTCCTTGTTTTGGTTGCGTTGAGCTCAGGTATAAGCTTCTCTCCTGCCATGCACCCTACTGTTGCTGAGTTTGCTATTAAATTCTGCTCTCTTTCTTTCCCCAGGAATCTCTCAATCAACCAGCTACTGGGCAGCATACCTGCAAGCTTCAGTGCTCTCACTCAAATCAAATCCTTGTGAGCACACACACCTGACCTCCTTTAGCAAGTGTTCCAAAAGGGGAGTTGTGAAACATGTATTGTATTTTGAAAACTATATGATCAGCAATGCCTTTTTCAATGACATAATGCTTCACAGCTTCTTTGTGCACCATGATCGGGCTCAAGGATTAAAAATACGGCCGCTTTTTTGAAAAGTTACGGTAAAAAACGGTCTCGTATAATAGGCTCCTGTGAGAAATCGTAGAGCAATTTCAGAAAAACGACCGTATTTTTGAACCTTGATCGGGCTACACTCTATCACACGGTCATACTAGAAAGTGATCCTTCGCCGCTTTGCCCTGGTATTTTTGGGTACCAATATCACTCTTGAACAACCACAGGTATCTACACAACAATAACCTCAACGGCTCTATCCCTGTCACCATTGGAAGCTTGGCATCTCTGGAGTCTCGGTACGGCTTCATCGCATCCCTGTTTTATCCCGTCCCCTCATCTCTCTTTCTTGGCCTGGTCTCCTCCATTTTCGTATCAACCCTAAACCCTGAACATGATATTTCTTCAAAGGAGGCTGCCTGTATGACAGGTTGTTAGTGCTCGTTAGGCAAGTTGAACACACACCGTGCCAATCTGGGCTTTTTAGATTGTGGGTAGCAACCTAAACTTGGGGAAAAAGGAGTCATGTGTTTTCCTGACACACAAGGCCACCGAGCTCGTTCTAACGATTCTTGTCATGTCTTGGAACAATCTCAATTCGTTTAACCTCACCTCTTCTTTCCCCCTCCCCCCCTCTACTTGCTCTCAATATCAACAGGCATCTCCACTCGAATATGCTGTCAGGTTCCTTGCCCTCGTGGATAACAGATCTTACAGCGCTCACCAGCTTGTAAGCCTAGCAGGCCCCTGCTTGCCGTAATAAGCACAATTATTCACTGGGTTATTTTATCACCTCCACACGTTGGAACTTGGAATTACTGCCGCTTATGAGCATGTGTAGGCACTCTTACTGACTGAGTGACTGAATGACACACAATGATCATGGTTCTGCTGGTTCTACACTCCCCCATATTGAATAACGCCCTAGTCTTGCAAGCACTGTAAATCAAATCCTTCATATCTACATACTTGTCTCAAGCCAATAGCGGCCTCTGTCTCTCCATTTCCCACTTGCTTTGTCAGTTCCACCCTGCCCGATCCCTGTATGGAGCTGCATAATCACCGCTAGCAACTAAACCCTGGCCTTCTTGAATCAAATTTGAAGCATCTTCCTGCTCGTCCTACTGATACTTGTTGCCTCTCTCTGTGCTGCTATGGTACTAAACGAGGCAAACCCCGTTCCCTATACAAGCCCAATCAATGAACCAGTGGACTACCAGCTCGACCCTGACTCATTCGTATATGGTACTCCAAAACCTTTTGAGGCGCCTCAAAAGTCGTCTCAGCTCAATGGCTCTATTCCATCGAGCATAACCTCTGTTTCAGGACTAGAACTCTAGGCCCTTCTCTCCACTCGCTGATCTTCTCCTCATCTCTTCCCTACTTCACAGCTGCTGCAAATCCCATAATCCCTCCCTTTTTCTCAACTTCAACCGCCTCTTCACTTTTATGCCCCTTCTAAGGCAATCACCACGGCATGGAAAGCACAAACAGGAAAATAACAAATTGTGGCACTGCTTTGGTCCAGCCTTCCCGTTGTCCCACCCTCTCATCACAACAAAAACACTGTCCCGCAACCAGCTCTATGGACCTATCCCTTCCTACATCGACTCCCTCACCAACTTAACTAGCATGTACGTAGTGCTCACCAGCTGAAGAGTCTACAATCCATTCTTCACCAGCATGACTGTTATTCATTGCTCACTACCAATGCCTTCTGTGCCTACGCGGTTTTGATCTCTGGCAAAGCTCATGCGCGCTCAGATCTTAAAGATTCTGCCTGTGTCACACTTTTTCCTTTCTCTCACATGCTTTGCTATGAACTCCAACATAATTACACAAGATGTTTCCATAAAGGAAACGCTTCCCACGTGTGGTATCGAGGACTTATATCAGTTGTGCTATCTGTCAGGGGTTATGTGCCATACAGCCCTGTGTCACCTCTCTCCCACCAAGAATCGGAGGATACACTGATTCACTGAAATGCCCTCATTGACTCAGCCCAGTTATTTCACTTGACGATCGTGCCAAAACAACAGTGTCCACGTGCTTAATCCCTGTCAAAGTCTGAGGTTCCAACTTACATTATCCCTTTTAAACGCCACCCACCTTATTCTCGAGACCTTACCTCCAATGATTTTAAACCTGGCTCTCCCTATTCTTTCTGCCCTGCCTCCTGACCACCACATGGGCACCAGGTCTCTTACCTCAAACAAGCTATATGGCTGCATTCCTGACAGCTTCTCCCAGCTTACTCACCTCACCTTTCTGTAAGTAACCACACCAGCCTTTGCACCGTAAACCTAATAATAATAATCATGAGTTGTACAGCGTAGAGAGTCAGCAATAATAATTTCTAGAATAAGGAAAAAAAAGAAGCTGCATCATTGGTGTCTAGCACAAGGGTGGGGATAGGTTACAACGAAACAAACATGCTTAGTGAGTTCTTTAATATATGAAACTAATGTCATACCAATTCCTACTAGGTGAAGAAAGTTTCTAGCTACTAGTATCAGCCTCCGACCAACTAGAAAAATCTTTGCTTGCCTTAGCTCAATTTATAGGTCCTTGGACCTTTCTCCTACATCTAAATAATGCGATTTGCAGGCCATATTTAGGTGCATTGATCATCCACCCTAAACGTTTTCTTCCACTTTCCTTCGCTCCTCCCTTTCTCCCAGGGATCTCTCGAGCAACTACCTCGCCGGCCCCATCCCCACACTGCCCCTCATCAGCACCTGGCGTCTCTCCATCAACTTCCTCTCCGGGCTTGTGCCGGTCGGGACATGCCACGCTTTCAGTTTTGATGGCAACTGCTTCACACTGCCTTCTGGTTGTGCAGAGGTTGTGCAGCGGGAGGAAGCATCATGCAATACATTCTGTGGCGTCTCTTACTCTGCAGAAGCCGCTGCTTCTTCTTGTGGTGGAAGAGGGGTGTGCGTTCCAGACGAGGTTACCCTGGCCCCAACCTGTCTGTGTGATGCGGGGTACATCCAATCTGGAAGCCTCAGCTGCGTGGCTAAAGGTATGGTGCTCCCTGGGGGTGGCGCACACAGAAGTGGGACAGATGCAGAAGGGGTGGAACATGGCCTGGCCACTCTTTTTGCAAGGGATGTGAATGCATGCGATCTGCTGTGTCCCTGCATTGCACTCTTTGTCTGATGTCACTGCATGGGCATTGCTCTCAAGAGGCCTCACTTCATCACCATCTGCCATGATTGTGAATTTTCACATTTCATCTCACCTATAATATTTTTGCTTGTGTGCCTTGCATGTTTGCAGGCACTATCAACAGTACCTCAGGCTCAACCAACAGTACCTCAGGTTCTACCAACAGTACCTCTAGCTCAACAAACAGTACCTCAGGTTCCACCAACAGTACCTCAGGTACTACCAGCAGTACCTCAGGTACTACCAACAGTAACTCGGGTTCTACCAACAGTACCTCAGGTTCTACCAACAGTAACTCAGGTTCTACCAACAGTACCTCAGGTTCAACTAACAACACCTCAGGTTCAACCAGTACCTCAGGCTCTACCAACAGTACCTCGGGTTCCACCAACAGCAACTCAGGCTCCACCAACATTACCTCGGGCAGCTTGTCTATTATCCCGCCAACAACTTTGCTCACCAAGGAGACACAGAAAGAGACCGGGGGGAAATTCACCGCGGATCCAGTGCCTCTGTTTGTGTACGGGGCAGGGCAGGCGGTGTCGGGGTGTGGAGTGCAGCTCGCCTTCCAGGCCAACTTCACCTTCTCCCTCGCCCCTCAATCCGGCCGTGCTGGCAACAACGGCTTCGCCTTTGTCGTCTTGGCAACGGACCGGGTGGGGAATGGATCTGGTGTGGGGTATGGTGGCATGGATACCCGCAGCATGGCGGTTGAGTTTGACACGCTGCAGGACAAGCTGCATGGCGACATGAGCAGCCCGCACGTGGGGCTAAACATTCAAGGCCAGGACCAGTCAAAAGCCGCTGCGAAGTCGCCGTTTGTTCCGACCAGCAGAAAGGCTTACACGGTGTGGGTGGATTACGAGCCTGGGGAGCCCGGCACCATCCAGGTGTTCCTAGCTGCCACGGAGGTGAAGCCAGCTCAGCCGCTGCTGGAGAGGAGGCTGGCGCTGTGTGAGGTGCTGCAGGCTGGGGCAGAGCAGTGGGCGTTCTTCTTTGGCTTTGTGGCATCCACCACTGTGAAGCCGTTCCAGATGCATCTCATCCTCAAGTCGGCAGTTCACACTGGTAAGGGCAGCTCTAATGGTGATGGTGCGGAGGACTGCTATAGGGATGATGAACCTTTCAAATGCTGATCAAGTGTTACGGATCCTGTTCTAACTATCTATGGCTGCCATTCCTGTATGTCCCTCGTGTTTTCCATTTTTGCAGGCCTTCCAGCTCCACGCAAGCCGGTAGACATCATTCCAGGTGAACAACCCCTTTCCAGGAAAACATTTCTCCCTCTGCTTCAGCGATCTATGCCTGTATGCCCCTCTTTGCTGCCATTCAGTCTCTTTCTCCGTCACTCCCTGGTGACTGTAAACCAACATCCAAACAGAACAGCACATGCAAGCACCGACATCCTCCCCATCGCCTCTCCTTCCTCTTCTCAAACCCACGTTGCTTTGCCCTGCTCAGCCTTTGGTCTGACTCTCTTTGGGGCATCGTATGCGCCAGTCGGAGCCAGTCCCTTTATGCGCTACATGAGTGCGGACTATCTAGTGTTGGCCAACCAGCAGAGTGCATGGCAAGTCAGCAGCTCCCACTCCTGGGACTCCATTCCCTTCCTTGGCTGGCCGGTCAAGAACCAGAAGGACTGCATTGAGTGGGAATGAGGAAGGTTTGTGGTATATGGACAGTTTTTTGGTGGTACTTTTTACCCCACTGGCACTTTCTCTGTACCGGTGATACTCCTTTTTATTCAATGAACTCCTGTGTTGCATCTCCCTTTCAGGTGCGAGTTGGGCGTATGCGGTGGTGGCGAGTGTGGAGGCAGTGTACGGCATTGCTCTGAACAGTGAGGCGCCACGGCTGTCAGTGGACTCACTCTTTGCAGCCATGGAGCTCACCTCCCTCACTGCCAAGTGCATGGCAGGCGGCTCTTCTACCGCGGCCTTTCACAGGCTTATCACTCTGCCCAGTGGTGGACTCACAACAGACAGCAAGCCGGTAGGAACAAGGCCAATGTAACCTAGCAAGGCTGTGCAGCTGTGCAGCAAGCATAATCGAGCGACTGTACAGAGCAATGAGCAGCTGCAGTAGATGCAAATAGACATGCTTACAGGGCCTCTGAGACTAGAAGTCATGCGGTACAACAGGTTATCCAAGGGACAAGATTATAGGAATTCAATATTGGCCAATGAGATTGCAGTTGACCGTACCCTTTTCTCTTCATCTTCTCCTCCCCCAGCCCTCACCCATCTACGTGCTGTTTCGACCAGTTGTTGATTTATCTCCCATTCACTGGTGTGTGCTCTGATCCATGGATATCAAAGTACCCCATTCAAGGATTTGAGCGCACGCGGTACACGGGTTATGTAGGGCTCATGCTGGCAGTTCGGCGGCAGCCAGTGGTGGTTCACATCAAAGCCTCTGCAGCCACGTTTGTACAATATGACGGGATGCGTACTGATCATCTCATCATGTGGCCATGTTTTGCAATCATCCTTGTCAGCATAGAAGATGCCTTTGGCAATTCTCTCCGTGTCCACATAGAAGATGCCTTCAAATGCCACACTTCTACTCATTGCCAGCTAAAACCGATATAGGAAACCGCATGTCTCATATGACCGCATCTGTGTCTACCTTCCCTGTGCTCACCATCTCCTTCTCTCCTCCAGACCTTCAAGCACCAGGATCCTGCCTGCTACACTGGCAACCTGGACCATGCTGTACTTGTTGTTGGGTACCTCCTTTTCACAAATAATGACCACCAAAGCCAAACTGCTCCATCGTTCTGGATCATCCGCAACTCGTGGGGAGTGGAGTGGGGAGACAGAGGCCACATGCGCATGGACATTCAGGGAGGGGTTGGCGTGTGTGGCATCAACATGCTGCCTGGCATTCACCCCATTGTCAAGAGTGAGGCATCAACCCCATTGTCAGGAGTGAAGCATGCATCACATTGCCAATCGTTTCTGTTTGCAACATTATGTATACTGTCTGTGTTTCCTCAGCAGGCAGAGAAAGGTTCACAGTTATGGATTCAGCCCACTTACGTGTTCACACATGCCACCTCCTCTGTGCTTCCCACCACCCTTCCAGTTCCCAAGGATCCGTGCGGCCAGAAGAGCTACAAGGGCAATGGGGATCTGCAGCCCAGCATGAACCCGTGCGGTCGCTTCACATGTCAGGCAAACACAAAGACCAACAGCAACACCTGCAACTGCACCATACCGAACGAGACCAAGCAGTCATTTGTTTAAGTGGAAAATTGGCTGGGATCCAAGACATGTGCATATGGTGAGTCGTGATTAAGCCCAAAAATGTTTCTCTGAACCACTGTGTACTGCTCTTCTCTTGCAGTACATATGGAGATTACATGGGCTGCAAGGGCATCCATGGCCTCACTGTAAACCTTGAACCTTTTACATCAGTGGTCAAGGATCGAGTTCACGTTTGATGGGTTGGTTCTGAACGCAGGTGCACTGACACTTGCTCCGAAGCTGAAATTGTCCCCCCAGGCCCCCCTCACCCCCCCACCCCCCTTCTCCCCCCCCCTCCCTCCTCCCCCCCCCCCCCCCCCCCCCCCCCTCCTCCCTTCCCCAAACCCCTCTCTTTTTAAACTTAATAACCCATCTCCGCCCATACCCTCCCTGCTGCAAACCCAACAGTTGATGTGTGCGGTTCCTACTCTAGCAACCCCTGCGCTGTGGGGACATGCATCAATGATGGCAAGGGCGCGTACTCCTGCATCTGCCCTCCCAACTACGTTGGCAGCATAACCGTTGACAACCTCCCCACTTGCGACCCAGGTGCTGCTACATTAACCTCACTCACGCGTTTTTGTTATGAGGATGCATTGGAATGCAATTTCATGGGTTGTTTGTTGCCCGTCAAGCTCCACCGTCGTCAGTACTTGATGCATGAACTTCTGCCATGGTAGCCTCGTCTGCATTCCCTCCACACCTGTCCTTCCCTGCCTGCCTCCTTCCTGATCATCTTGCTCTAGCCAATAGCACAGCCTCCATGTTGATAATCACTGGCGCTAACTGGTGGTGCTCCGATGTCTTCCCTGTGGCCGGCATCTCCTTGGCTGGCTTCTCATCGCAGAACATGGTGAGAGGGCCAATGAGCAGGCCACGTTTGCATGGAAATGGCCTTAGTGAGTGGTGGCAGCAGGGACAAACGTACGCATAGGTTTGTTGACTGAACTTCAGAGTTCATGAGACCTGTGTATCCACCACATGATTTCTCCGATCCATTATGCATGTGATTTTGATTGCCGGCCATTCCATGCAACCAGAGTTTGCCGCAGGGCAAGGTGATCAAGCTGGGAGGCACTCCCACCACCCCCTGCACTGCATTCTTCTATGCCCTCAAAGTGAGCCTGGCCAAGAAGATTAATTTCTTTTGGGGATCCTCCACCCCTCTCCCCTCATCGCCCTCGTCATCCCCCCTTCAACTCACTCACTCCCCCATTTCTCCCTCCTCCCCAAACTTTCCCCCATCTTTTGATATTGTATTCACCATCCGCAATGTATCTGGCCATTAAACAGCAGCACAATTTAAACGTGTATCATCTGCAACAAACCATCTCTTGTCTCCACCCGTTCCCACTTTATCCTCCAGGGCAACACCTGCTCCTCTATCAGCGTCCAGCTGGGACTCGCATCGACTTACCTTGCCTCTCTCAATCCCGGCCTGGACTGCTTTGAGCCCATCAAGGCGGGCCGCTCTCTTTGCATTGAGCCCAACGCCACCTTCGCCTTCACTGTCCCTTGGTGCTTGCAGTACGGCATGCTCTCGTCTCAGGACACGTGCGAGAGCCTGCAGCAGCAGAGCATGAATTCAAGTAGGGAGGGGTCGACAGGGGCCGAAGTGGTGGCTGCAACCAGCTGGACTGAGCTCTACCGTTCAAATCCTGGCATCATTTGTCCCCGCACTATCCCTGCCTCTAGTGCCACCATTGCTAGTGGGGCCAGCACAAAGGTGAGGGGCGGAGGATAACAAGTATATGGAAAGGAACATGGAGGGTTTCTGCTGTGCACTATACCCTGGTCATGGCATCCTTGATTTTGATTGTTTCCTGGTTTGCCTCTGTTTGCAACTTCTATCCCAAGTTTGTCTCAAGGCAGACTACAAGTCCATCAATGCTTACACTTGCAAGATTGGCAGGCGTAAGGTGGTGTCTCCTTTGCTCACATGCCCAGGTGCTTTCAGCTTTTTCGGTGGAACCAAAACGGGACCAGCTGCAAGGTTCATTGAATACAACGGAAAGGCATGCTCAGACAATGTAGAGCTTAATTGGCTATGTGTACCATAGTGACTTTTTTTGGCGCTTGAAGGGAGTTGGAGCGTTTTCCATTCACATCTCTAGTGGTACTTTCACTGTAACATGCCTTTGCAGTGGAAATATCTGCTTGTATTTCGAAGTTGCGGGCAAATCTGCTGGTGGAAGTCAGAGAGAGAGAGTTGAAATCTCCCCTTCAGCAACATTAAAGATTATTGTTGAATGGAAAAACACATAACAATGCAATAGGACACAAATGTTCCGTGTACATCTGATTGTGTCTGAGAAGATCTTGACCCGTCAACATCACGTGAATACCCTTGAAATATAAATATTTTTAAAAGCTGTAACGCTTTTCAAATTTTTGCATTTTGAAAGCGAAGCGGCTTGTAATGTAGCAATGATGATCGGCGAACCGCGCTAAACACCCGTTTTGGAGTACAAAACGTGGGCTGGAGGTGATTTCCCTCCACCCACGTCTTTCATTTTCAAACAACATACCCTAGATTTCAATTTCCAATTCCAAGCTGGCGAAATTGAAGTCACTACCTCATTTCCGGTCCCCATCCACACTCCTTTCGGACATTTTCGCTCACAACGTGGCTACTATGGCACTTAACGGCGAGAACGGTGACAACGCGAACGCTTCAATTCGTCCAGACAACGAGAATATTACCCGTGCACCCACGGGCGAACACCGGAACAAGCGTCGGGCAGACGACGAGGAGTCAACCCCGACCACCATCGACATTCTGCTGTCCGACGTCGCCGGGGCACGCGCCCCTGGGGTGCCTCGAGCGTTAGTGCCCCCTGAGAAGCCTGAGGTGCCAGCCGTCAACGAGGGCGCCAAGTCAACGCCGCAGGCAGGCACACGCGCCTGACACGAGGCCTCAGGCGCACGTGGGCCCTGACGCGCCTCAGGCCGCTGACGCGCCTTAGGCCCCTGATGCGCGTATGGCCTTGTCTGTCTTCACTTCGGCCCAACTGCAGCATCTGTTGTCCCTGTTACAGCAGCAAGCCCCCGCAGTTACGGAAACCACCGTTACACCAAACGCAACGTCAATGTTAGCTAAAAGCGAGAAGAAAAAAAGGGAGACGGTGAAACGCGCTCGCACGGCAAAAATCACACGCGCCGAGGGCACCACTGCCAAAGCTACCCCGGGCCCCAGAAATTCCTGCCGACAGCGACACTTCTGACAACAAATCTGGTGAGGCACCAGCCGATAATGCAGTTTTTTCAACCACCGAGCACCTCCCCCCCCCCCCCCCCACCCCCCTCTACCTCCAACCCTAACCTCGCCGTATCTTCCTTCAAGAACGGGGCTGTTCGTGAACAAGCCGAGCTCCTTGAGGACCTGCGCGCCTACCTGATGCATGCGGAGCAGAAAGTGCGGCTCAACGAACCGCCAAGCGCCATCTAACTTCTCGAGGAGGCGCTCTCGCTCGTCAATAATTGTTTCAAGCTTCTCCACGTCGCCGATTACACAAATTTCCGCGTCGCTAACTGGTTCAAGATGTATGAAGAGAAGAGCTTATTCAACTCGTGCCCATTCAAGCAAGCCATGGCAAACGTTGCGGCCATGGAAAGCGCCCAAGGCGACCTCGGCCGCGCCGCACGAGGTAGAGGGCGAGGAACCGGTGCATTTGGCAACAAACGCGGGCCAACAATGGACAACAACACCAGGAGCTATCGTGGAACCTGCTTCAAGTGCGGACAGCCCGGCAACATGGCCAATGCGTGTCCCGATAAAGGGTGAGGAGCCCAAGGACTGTGATAATCAAAACGAGAATGATTGAACTATGAAACAGTTGGGTACAAGTGCTAACCCTAATTGGGCTGTACCCCTTATGGTCTACCCCACTACAGCCTACACAGATGTATAAGCTATAATGTTAAGACACACCCCCATAGGCAAAGTGGGCGAGAACAAGTGGTCACAAGACCAGTTAAGCAAAGCAAAACAAGCTCAGGGTGAATCACAAAGTCACCACACAGTCCGAGCACAAGAGCAAGGCCACAAGGCCACTTCACATGCAAGATCATATACATAAAGGTAAACAAGCAAGTGAAGGTATAGAAAGAGTACAGTACAAACAAGATCAAGAAGTGAGCTAGTGAGGCCAAATAGGCTCAAGACCCAGCAAAGTACAGTAGCGCTGATGATCACGAGGCGGAAGGGCCTTGGTGAAGATATCAGCAGTGTTGGCCTCAGAGGCCACGTAGGTGAGGCGGAGCTGACCACGCTGCTGCAGCTCACAAGCCAGGAAGTAGCGGAGAGCAATGTGCTTCGTTCTGTGCTCTAGTCTGTGCTCCCGACACAAGGCCAGCATGGCCTTGTTGTCTACGTACAGAGTTGGAGGAGAACGAGGCTGCTCTCCTAGGTCAGTCGGCAGGTAGGTGAGCCAGCGTAGCTCCTGTGCAGCCATGGCCCCTGCGTAGATCTCAGCCTCACAGCAGGAGCTAAGAAGGGAGGACGAGCAGGTAGACCGCCACGAAACAGAGCTGGAGCCAAGGCTGAAGGTGTAACCCTGTGACGACCGCTGCTGAGCCTGGTCGTCAGCCCAAGAAGTGTCAACGTGACCTGTGAGGACCACTCGACGACGCCCTCCAAGCACTAGCCCCATGCCCGACGTACTGCACACGTAGCGCAACACCCTCTTTGCTGCAGCCATCTGCTCTGGTCGGTGTCTCCCAGGAGCAACATAGCGTGCCAAGATGCTAAGAGGGTATGCAAGGTCAGGTCGTGTGCAGGTCATTAGGTACATGAGGCAGCCAACAAGCTCTGGGTATGGGCCACTTGACTCTACGGACTCATCCGAAGGCAGAGCTGAGAGCGAGTGGCGAGTAGATAGAGGAATGGCCTGAGGAGAGGAGTACGTGAAGCCGAAGCGCTGAAGGACCTGCTGCACCATGTGTGACTGAGTCAGGGTAATGGTGCGGTGTGCTCTATCCCGAGTGATCTGCAAGCCAAGGTAGCTGCGCAGTTCACCCAGGTCTGTGCACGTGTGTCTCTTCCGCAGCTCGGACTTCACGTGGGCGAGTCCAGCAGTGTCAGCTGTGGCAAAGACCGAGTCGTCAACGTACACGAGGATGTAGAACGGCGGCAAAGAGGTGTCGGTGCGCAGAAACAGCGACGGGTTGGCTGTAGAAAGAGCAAACCCAAGAGCCGCAAGTGTAGTCCTCAGTGTGTCGTGCCACTCACAGGGTGCCTGGCGGAGACCGTAGACTGGCCGCCGGAGGCTCCACTAGGTACTAGGGGGAAACGACCCAGTGAAGCCAGGTGGGCGGCGCAGCCAGATCTCCTCGTGCAGGCTGCTCTGCAGGAAAGTTGTGCTCAAGTCAAGAGAGTGAAGCTCGTAGTCGCGCTGAGCGGCTATGTGCAGCAGCACCCGAAGAGTGGTCATCTTTGGGGTGGGAGAGAAGGTCTGCAAGTAGTCAACTCCCTGCCGCTGACTGAAGCCTCGAGCCACGTAACGAGCCTTGAAGACAGGCGGAGAACCCGGAGGCCGCTTCACCCTGAAAATCCACATGCCACTGACGATGTTCGTCCCAGGTGGGGGAACCTCCTCGACGTAGGTGTCTGTGGACTTCCAGGAAGCCATCTCTGCGTCCATGGCTGACTGCCACTGAGAGGAAAAGGGACCCTCGATCGCCTCAGTGTACGATCGAGGAGTCGGGATGTCTGGTGCATCCGGGTCTCCCTCAGGGGCAATCAGCGTGGACACGAGATGGGGCAAAGCAGCAGCAAAGCACTGGAACTCCTCCTGCCTATCCTCAAGGACGTCTGTGCTAAGAGCAGACTCACCCCCAACGGACCCCGGGTCAACAAGAGTTGGAAGAGAGGAATCTGGGGAGACGGCAACGAGACACGCAGAGGAGCAGTGGAAGGACGCAGCGCCATCTGGTATGTGCCGGGGACCGCAGGAGGACGCGTACGCGCAGTACGACCACTAGTGCGAGCAGCAGGAACAGGTGATACAGGACGAGACGCAGGCGCACGACGCTCAGCAAGACCTCTAGTAGGACCAGTGTAGGGAGAAGGAGCAGGTAGAGGGGAGGCGGGCTGTAACCGTGACTGCGATTCGACAGGCTGTGGACACTCTAAGGAAGGAGCAGGACCAGTAGAGGGCGGGAGACCAAGAACCAGCTCCGGGAGCGGAACGAAGTACGGCCTCGGCCGCTCAGCGCCTCCAGAACCAGGAAGGACGGCACCAGTACCCCAAGCGGCACCACCAGCGCCAGCAGCACCTCCAGTTCCAACAGCGCCAACTCCAGCACCCTCAGAAGCACCAGCGCCAGCATCACCGCCAGCGCCAACACCCCCAGCAGCTCCAGCTCCAGGAGCACCAACTCCAGTAAGACCGTCAGCTCAAGCAGTCTCAGCAGCACCCCCAGACGCACCAACGCAAGTAGAAACACCAGCGCCAACACCCCTAGCAGCTCTAGCTCGAGTAGCACTAGGACCGCCAGCAGCTCCAGTAGGACCAACTCCCGTAGCCCCAGCAGCACCCCCAGTTTCAGCAGCACGTCTCCAGCGGCGGGCAAACCACTCGCGCAGCTCGTGTGGAGAGAGTGGCTCCCGCCTCGACAAAGCACCGCCGGCGGCCACACGAGCAGACCCAGCGCCCCCAGGCTCGGCCCCCCCAGGCTTCGCACCTCCAAGCTCTGCACCCCCAGACCCAGCACCCCCAGACTCAGCACCCCCAGTCTCAGCAC